CAGCTCATAATACACATTTGTGTCTGAACTCTTTTAAAAAATACGTATACTATAAGACTATAATAATAGTTTACCGGAAAACGGATTTGTTTGTTGAAGCAATTTCGCAGCTAAGGTTCAATAAAGTAATCATCAGATTTCTGTTATCTTTTATTTTAGCATTTGAAATTTGATTGCTGCTAGATTTTTTATACTGCCTTAAAAATCGTACCAATTTTTGAAAAAACCAATAAATATATGATAAAAATGATCTAAAGTTAGTTAGACAGAATTTTCTTCGCCCATAATACAGTCAAACAAATCCAGTTTCTTAAAATAGATTGTAAAATATGAGTTTGCGATTTTTTTTTTATAATAACCCCTATAAATTAAAATAAAGGTATGTGTGTAGCTAAAGGTAAAGAAGCATGACATGCGTATGTTATGTTATAAGTGACTATTTTATAACAAAATTTGGTGATGACGTCATTAAATAAAAAAAATGTGCCGGTATATCAATTTGGATAGCTGCAAGTACGGTTGAATCTGTTTTAATGTAGTCAATAAAATAAATTAGTTCATGCTTTTTTTTAAGAAATAAACACATACATTTTGTTAACGATTACCGTGCTTACAGTAATCTTAAAACATTTGGAAGATTTTGTTAAATTGTAAAATATAAAGGTGCACTCATAAACCACAGATATAGAAATATGTAAACATTTAAGTAGCGTGTACAATGCAAAATTTTCAGATGACGTCACGAAATTATTGGTAGGAATGGTCAAACTAATTTTGGTTAGCGTTTTACCATCTACGCGATATTCCTAAAATACAGAAACAATTCACAACAAATCAGTCCATTAGTTTTGGAAAATACAGTACATCTAATAATATTGCCAAGAGTTTATTGACATACGACAGACAAGCAGAAACGGGAACCTAGTCTTTCATACTCTAGGCCCAGCAGCCAAGAAACGTTGAGGAAACATGAAATTAGCCATTCGCCGAATGGATTCCATACTTAGTTAATTCAATAGATTAGATATAGACAAACATAAGGAAAACTTAATGTTGATGATGCAATTATTAAAGACTTGGAGAAAAAGTTAAAGCAAAGTCGCATTAAATCAGTAACCAAGATATCTTTTCATATTGAGTTCCTTACTGTGCTCGTCGCAAGATTACCAAAGCGAAATTGCATTTCCGTCTATATCGAGTAGAAACGTTGCATTAATGTCGTCCTACAGTGAAAACGAAGAATAAGAAAATCTATCTGAAGCCAATAATTTTAATATTTTTGCTTACAAAACTTACAGTAAATTTTACGAACCTCTACCTTATAGTTTACTAGCACTTCCAAATATACTGACCAAATTGTTCAATTTTTATAAGCTGCCAAAATAATGTGTGTTTCTAAAACCGTATTTCAACAACAGACTAACTTTTTATAAAAGAAGCACAAAACTATTCAGATATTACAATTTTCAATTTACCTATTAATAGCCAACAATTTTCATTATATCTACACAGTAGCAGGTTATATTATAGGTTGTTTAACTGCTGTAAATGACAGAAACCTTTTAAATTCATAGCGTGGTATGATTACGAAGCATTTACAAATTTTATCGTAGCAAAAACATTATGGAAGTTTACTGAGAGTACTATAATACACGTCTACGCAAATTTGATATTTTTTGTTGTAATTTGTTTGATACCAGTTCAGTGTTGCTGTCCTTTTTCTAAGAAAAACGGTTATGCAATTTTTAAATTCTAAAATTTGAGAGTCCATAGTTACTTTTTTTAATAACGAGTAAATAACATAATTTGTGACCGTAGGTGGCTTTGTTTCAGAAAACGTATGTCGGTATTTTCAAAAATCTTACCCGATTTTTTCTGCTTGTCAAGAATTTGATGACTTTTTACACAATCGTATCGATCAAGCATAGCCTCAAAATTTTGTTTCCAGAACCTTCTGCAATCACAAAATATGGCGCTCCCCTGTTATAACATGTGCTACTGAAAAATAAGAATAGGAGTGGAGTAGAAAATATGCAATTAGATACTTTAAATTCTGCTTCAGTATCTTTCATATAAAAGTTCGTTCCCGAAATTCATTTGTGTTTTAGATGATTTTATTCTCTACACTTATATCTTTTAAACAATAAAATTAAAGTAGCTTTTGTTGGTTTCTAAATTTTCAATGATTAAAAGAAAATCCGATTACAGTAGCAAACATTGATATGAGGATAATTTTTTAAGAGGAAAAATGTTGGAAATATCTACTTCTACAATATTTACTCTGTTCTTACTAACGTTTGACCAGCAAACAATAGGACACGGTCGACAAAAAACATCCCCACGGAGATGACAAAGAGAATTGACCTGAAAATGATTTTCGTTGATTACGCATTGTGCCGAGAGAACAATAAAAAACACGATCAAAAACAGCCAAGGTTTAAAGATTTATTTTTGATAGAATTTTCGTCTTGACAGGTTATCGTTAATTCGAAAATTTGAGCTGAAAATCCAACGATCAAAGACAAACTTTCAAAAATCCAATACTGCCTTTGATCGTGCTTTTTTTTTCTCTGTTAATACATATATATTAGCTGACACCTATTAAAGATATAATGATGGATTTGTGATCAATGATCATTCTGGTGAAAAATGAGTCGATAATTATATTCTTTTATCATTTGCACTTTTTTTGTTTCACTTTTTCTTCGTTTTATCGTACTTGTTTTGAATTTATATTTTCATTTGTATATTAAATAAGGGAGGCACTCATGCAAATAAAATACATATTCCAATCGAATTCATAAATCTAATCTAAGGAACAGTTACTCAGTTTGTTGACGGAGAAACTGTCGAAATAAGGACTTTAGTCTGGTAAGGCGTATTTTCAGATATAGTAAACTCTGGCAACTTATCCGCCTTAGTTGATATATTTAGTAAATGCCCATTTTGGACAGTGAGATCTTGATCGGGATTGGGCAGAACTACATAAAAGTTCTAGAACTGAAATTTACAACTTGACATACTCGTATATTGATCGATTCTGAAACCGGCTCTTTATATGTATGTACCAGTGGCGGCTCGTGACTATTTTGGTTGGGTCGGCCAGCAGTGAGTAACCCAAAGTTTTAAGACATAGAATACAAGAACCAGGGACCTCAAGTCAGTCATTATCTATAATTTGCTTCCTGTATGGTGTTAATTCATATAGTCCTAACAACTTGGTAAAACAAAATAAAAAATATTCTTCAAATAGGTATAAAGTAAAGCATATACTTATACAATATAAGCCATCTATAATAATAAAATAACGACAATAAACTCAAATAAAAATGAAAATAACATTCAAGTTATAAAGTAACACATTCTAACAAAAAATATAACATGAAACGTCAACAACTATTTATTAGTAAAAAACAAAATTAAAAAAGTAAATTAGAAATTTTTATAAACCAATTCAATGCGTCTTTGTTTTGTATTGGCAAAGTGGTCAATTACTTGATTATAGAACTTTTGATCTTCCGTTAAGTTTGTAAGCACTTCTTTTTCTATTGCTAAAACGAATAATTTGGATAATCGATTTTGACTAATGGAGTTTCTAGTAAAATTTGTAATTCGCTTTAAAGCTGAAAAACTGCGTTCAACATATGCTGATGTGGATGGTAGGTATATGATTAAAATTAAAGACAGAAATAATTTCGGAGGCTTCTACATTTTCCTAAGTAGCATCATCAGGAGCAGGGTTGAGAAATTAGGAAGATGGCAAAAGAGCACGGTAACTCAATATGTCAATCGTACCAGACGACCAGAGGCAAAACTCTTTTTCTGAAGTTTTTTTGAATTTATTGTCAACATCATATTCAAAAATTAAACAATATCAACAAAATAGTTTGTTTTTTGACTTGCTCCCCGTCAGCCATTCATAATTTTCATACCATGCTGTATTAATTATTAATTATTAATATGCTATTGCACCGGAGCTGACGTTATTATTGCTCCGTGCTTCGATTAAAAGTTGCATGCGCGGCTCCGAACGGGTCATTTCTTTTATATCCCAGGAATTGATCATCGTATGTTAAAAGTCGAAAGTCATTATTTAATAGATGTGTAACAGCATCAAAATTTAAATCAGTTACTAATTCTCTTACTAACTGTTGTCATTGTTACTGAAATTAGAAACAAACCTAAACCAATTTCATCCACGTGAAGACTGCAGAAATTCACAATATACAGACAGCGGCCGGCCGGTGCTGGTAGTGGGGAACCGCATGGAAAAGTGCACGGCAGAAGTGGAGTGATGAAACGTAATATTGTACGGTTTCATCGCTATTGCCTTCTAACTTATACAAACAGAAGGTGATAGCGCTATAACAACTTGATGTACTGCCAAAAGGCCGGCCGATTTTAGTAGACATTTGACCAATCACTGCTGCAGGCGCGTTAATCAGAGGGTATCAGACACGTATCAGTCTTTATAGCTATTTCTCTTTAATTCCGCTAAACAGAGAGCGATAGCAGATATGACATTATTCGACGTTTATTCTTGTAGTCGGCCGGCCTCAGCTGCTGCTCCTCGCAGTAAAAATATTTAAACTTCCCGGCACGATTTGTGCTTCCGAACGAAAGTGAATAAATTAGATAACGCTTTTTGTAATTAAAAAAATAATAACAACAGTAAAATCAGGTGATTTCAAAATAGCTTTAAATTATATTCTTGCGTTTAAAATAAAAATGAATATCGCAAATTGACAAGTTCGGTGACAGACTCGGCCTGGCCTAACTGGCCCCCCCTGACGAGCCGCCACTGGTATGTACGTATAAATGTAACAGGCTGAAGGCTAAAATTAATGTATAAAATAAGTTAAAATGAAAAGTAATGAGGTAATAACATTCAATCAAACAATCAAATATGGTAACATTTAGGTTGCTAGTGAACTTCTTCTTAGTAGGTGTGAAAATCGACATCTTTACATATAACTTATAAAAATGTTTCTTTTTTTCAGGGTAACGGGCGGTGAATTATTTGAAGATATTGTAGCCAGAGAATTTTATTCGGAAGCGGATGCGTCACATTGCATACAACAGATATTAGAATCAGTTAATCACTGTCATCAAAACGGTGTAGTACATAGAGATCTCAAGGTAATGTATTTAGAACTCTTAGTTGTTCTTTTTTTTCAGTAAACATTTTTAATCAATTAATTTAAAACAAATGCGAAGCTTAGGATATTATTTACAGTAATCCATTGGAACATGATAATGTTGGACTCAATATTTCAGAGAAGTTCAGAATACAAAAAAAATTGTCGGTTTTACTATGCAAATTATCATAGAATCTTTAACAAACATGCAACCGGGTAAATACCTACTTAAAATTATTGATTGTGATTGTAGTTTTTTCAATTTATTGCCCCCATTAGATTTAAAAATGCAGATTTATTTGATTTTTTAAGTGAAGGTAAAAAGCGTTTTTCACTGTCAGGTCATGAAATATATATTCCTATTTCTATTTCTATTGATCAAAATTTCATTTTTTCACTAGTTAAATTAGTAACCAAATGAAGGCACACATAGTTTTACCACGTTTTACTTTGTGGATAAATGTCGACAAAAAGTTCAATAACTGTCTAACTGTCACAAAAGTTTGCAGTATAAACAGAGCATTCCAATTACAGCGAAACGCATGTTAAAAGTCCTAATGAGTTGTCACAGAACAATTACTTAAAACACAGTGCCCTTTTTAAAAGCAATTACTTATTAACTGCCTTTGGACTTACAATGACATACGTAAGATTGAAGCAAAATATTATCAGAAATGAAATTAAAGTAACAAAGTTAATTAAAAAATTATGTGGATGCTCTCTATCCAAAATGCACATATTACGATAATAATTATTTACCGAAATAGTACGAAACAAGGTTATTTATAAAATCTTAAACACATCACTTTGGGAATTACATGCTTGATACTTTTTTCTTGGCAAGAATTATGAAGTATGCAAACTGATTAAGAATATTAAAATGATAAAATCAAAAACAATTATTTAAAATATTCGGCACGCATTTCTTTTCTAGCCCTTTTTCGTCATTGCTTCATAAGTAATATTCATACATGTCATTAAAGATGTAATGTTCCCACTCAGCTCTGCAACCGCGTAAAATTCCAACACTATTGAAGACTAATAGAATTACGCAAAACTGATAAAGTGGAAGTTAATGTGATTAGCATAAATTAAAACCAAAAGTGTTATTTGTTTAAAGATTATTATAGTTAGATATTAACTTTTAGGATCAGTCTCTTATTTAACCCATTGTTGGTATGTTCCCTATATCACTAAAAACCGATCATTCACAAGTAACCTGTAAATTGTACTTTATATATATTATCTTTAGAAAACTTATTGTCTGCAAGTTATAAAATGCGTTCTTACAATAAAAGTAGTATTAACATCTTATCATACCGTCTGAAAGGGTAAAATAGTGTAGCAAAGGATTCATGGCAAAATTGGCGCCGCGCGAGACATAATTAAGAAAATAATTCGACTAGATTTTGCTAACAGGAGACTGGCAATTACGACAAATTAAAATTATGGGAATATAGTCTAAGATTGCTTTTCTTTTAAACAATTATTATTATGTTTTATCATACGTTAGTTAAATAATAATTATCATTACCAAACTTAAAATAACTTAAATATAAGTCAAGAGTTGTGTGAAATATGTAATATGAAACATTTTAACTAATTATTGTGTTACCAATATACCAATTATAGTTGTAATGTAAATTAATGGAACATGCGAAATAAGGACAACTAACAAAAATTAATCTATATAAAAATGTAAATGGTAAATTAAAGTTAAAATATACTCACAACCATGTGTCCTAAAATCGTACTCACTGGCAAATTTTTGTTAGAAAATATTAGGAGTAAGCAAACAGTGGTTTAAAAAAATCGAAGAATCCTGAAATAAGTCTAATTCGTTTAGCACTGAAACTTCACTAAAAAGTAACATATTTAATGATGACCGACGTATGATGAAATCGTATTAAAAGAACAAAAAAGTACTTTTACTATATGAAAATCAATAACGAACTTCTTTATAATTTTTTTGTTTACTTTTTAAATCAGTTCATCTTCGCATCATTTAAAGAATTATATACATTTTTTAATTCAGTGAAAATGTTATTATTGTTTACTAATACAAAGCAATTTTTGCAGCCTGAAAATCTTCTCTTAGCAAGTAAAGCAAAAGGTGCAGCTGTGAAATTAGCAGATTTTGGTCTTGCGATAGAAGTTCAAGGAGAACAGCAAGCGTGGTTTGGATTTGCCGGCACGCCAGGATATTTATCTCCTGAAGTACTGAAAAAAGAACCATATGGAAAACCGGTGGATATCTGGGCGTGCGGTGTTATATTATATATTCTCTTAGTGGGCTATCCTCCTTTCTGGGATGAGGACCAGCATCGGTTATACGCACAAATTAAAGCAGGAGCTTATGATGTAAGTTCCATATCCTTCAACTTAAAACTGCTAAAACTGTAAGTTTGTGAACTCCATTAATGCAAACGTTATAACGAAACGATTAAAGACTATGAATATGCTAACATGTTTAATCTCGGCTTCGTTGCTCTTCTACAAAAACATTTGTGAAATTTTCAACAATTCGGCGCAACAACAGAACCACTGTTGTAATTTTATTGTGTATGATGATAAAGATGCAATTTTTTTATTCTAGATTTTTAGCTGCATGCCTGTGAGGGTTTAATTTTATATCGTGCTTGTCGTTTAATTTCTATTTTTATTTTGCAGTGACGCATAAAATCTTTGCCGTAAACATAATCAAAAAGGCATTTTCCACCAATTAGTCTGCTCAAATAAATTACTATGGCAACGCTAATCGTCGTTATTATTTTTTTGACGGAAAGATGATTTCGATTTTATTTTACTTTGTCAATTTATGATAAAAATACCAATTATAACGTAAATTGGTCAAAGAGAAATTATGCCGAAATGTCAACTATTATAAGGAATGTAACTACTATAACAGTTGCAAGTTATGTTTATAGAGTGAAAATCGACTTACAAGAGTAAGTACCTTATATTTATATCAATTTGTGCGTTATTTTTTGCCACGGGTGTTTATTGAAAGCATACTTTCCTTGAGCAATATCAATTGAAAATTTTTAGTGTATACCTATACATATATCTTCGAACTCTACTTATTTATTGCTCATGACATCATGCATCCTTTGATTTATTTCACTCCTCACTGGAAGTGGGAACAACAACATACTTAACAATATACTTAATTGTAGGTACATTCCTTATAAAATTTAAGATAAGGAAAATTTATACATATGATTATGACTGTTTTGCCGAGAAACGTAACTATTAAAATTTAAATGAAGCACTATAACAAAGTTGTTAGATACTAGCATATTCGTATCAACATAAACAGTGAACTTTCGCGTACAGTATTAAAACAGCTTAAAATGTAAAGTAGTTACAAGTTAAGGCGTAATGGGGCAAAAATCATAGCTCCCTGCCATAGTTAATAAATACATACAATACTAGAAATTATTGCAAACATATTTTAAAACGCCTTGGCATAATTTAATTATTTTTAATAGTACGGATGTTATGTTTACTCCTTATAATAATAAAAGTAAAATAATATCGGATGTTGGAGTCCTTCAAATAACAGTTTTAAAATCACTACACTTTTATAAAAAAAGAAAATACCTACTACATGTAAACTTCATCATACTACCCCATTTTTAAAGATAAAAGTAATTTCGTAGAAAACTTATTATTTTTTCACCTTTAAAAAATTGGACCAAAGTATAGTTTATTTATTATTCAATTAAATTTGAAAATTTTACGTTTTGTATTTTTTTTTTTTTATAAAGGAAACCTATATTTTGTAACTATTTATACTTTGTCGTTATATAAGCTTTTTTTTTAAACAACTTTATTAAGGGTTTGTATTGATGAATTTCAAGTTATAAGAAAATATACAAATGCTGTTACTTAAGCCCACAATTAATTTATGGCGAACAAAATCAAAGCAGTCCTCAACTGCATGTAGCAAATTTTATCTGAAATATACAGAGCCAAAACATTCCTTGTATAACTTATTTATGGTGTTCAAGATTTTGAGATTTTCTGTTTGATTGAAATTATAGTAACTTTTCGGTTCTTCACATTTTGTACATTTGTTAAACAGGTCGTAAATTTGCTACTCTAATTGTCTTTAACATTTTAGACCTCTATTAAATTGTGTTAATTTGCTAAAAACCGTATTAACCAAGTCATTTTAAATCTAAAATTAGAAAATTTGTTCTTTCAATTTGCAAGTTTTGCTTTTTCTACATTTTTATACAATAACTGTGTTCGTTTGGAATTTTAATAACATTATCAGGAGGAAAAAATCTAGTTCATACTTTATATTTAGGTACACCATGCCAGTTAATAGTTAGTTATGAGTGTCGTGCGATGAAGAATTTAAAGAAGCTGGAGTGTGATCAGAATAAATTTTTTAAATGAAAGCTCAGTCATACTTTACATTCTTTGTTTTAATATTAGAGCAAGTTCCACGATGTGGACAAAATGATTAGTACATTCTGACTCAGTTTAATATTTATGAAAACATATAAATACGAGTAATCGCAACATTTTATCGTAACTTGGTGAATAATAATCATATTCTTCCCGTTGACAATAAAACGGATTAATTCCAATCGAAGCTGAAGAGGGAGTGCATCACTTTCTTCGTTCTTTATCTAGAAATGGAGCAACAATTTAAAGACCATTTTAAAGAATGAATATTTGATGCTTTTAAGTGAACTTTCCACAGCGCTCCGGCAATAGTGCCAGAACAAAGTACTTAGTTGATTGAGTTGTTGATAAAAATTATTGAGTACAAGCTTTTGAAATAACCAGCTTAAATACGAATTATTTCGTATTCAGCTACAAGTACAGTTACGGAATTGACGTTTTTATTTTGTCACGGGTTATTTTAGACACGTGTACGCGTAAAAAGGTTAAGGGGCGTTTTAAAATTTGATATTATCTCTCTCGCTTTTATTCCTGGTGTTAAATATACACTGGTTACGTATCAGTAGTACAGATCATTTAGTATCAACTCTTCAATAAATAACGCTTTATCTAATCCAGTTTGTTTTTTAATGTTGAGCTGTTATTATTTAGATACGTTCTTTCGTATGTATTATGTTTATCAATACAATTAAATATCTTTTTCCTGTTATTAAGACCTTACCTGTTCATCAATAATTTTTTGATGTATTTATTTTAGTACCCTAGCCCAGAATGGGATACGGTCACACCAGAGGCAAAAAACCTCATCAATCAAATGCTTACTGTTAATCCCGGGAAAAGAATTACTGCCTCAGAAGCTTTAAAACATCCCTGGATCTGCGTAAGTTTAATAAAACAAATATGTTTCTTTTGTCTATAATTTTTTATTGGTAGCAACGAGAACGTGTTGCATCCGTCGTTCATCGACAAGAAACTGTGGACTGCCTCAAAAAATTCAATGCCCGGCGCAAGCTCAAGGTATAGTTTAATATTATTACTGGTATTTATTGTTAAACAACATGAATTATGTTTTACAGGGCGCTATACTTACAACTATGTTGGCTACGCGTAATTTCTCAAGTAAGTGTAATAAAACGTTAAACAATTCTGTTTCAATAAATTATAAACATCGTTCTAAATGGCCACCTTACCTTACCTATTTGTTCTCCATTTGACGGTAACTTTTTACACATGTTTAATCTACACATCATGTTCGAAAATACTTGACAATTTAAAACATGTGTAAAATGCTCTTGTGAATAAAATAATACTTATTCTATCTCCTAAATGTTGTCTTTTAAATCTTTATTAATTTTGTGGCACCACTATACTTAAAAACAGACTCACACATGTACACTACTTTTTTACATTTTCAGTTAAAAGTTTAATTAGCTAAATGAAACACACCAATTTTAGTGTAAAGTAAATAATATTAAAGCTGTAAAGAATCTTCTTTCTATATAGATGCAGTTAGCTTCTGGGCATGTTTGTCTCAAATCTTTATAGAAATAATAGTTTAGTAGGTTGAAGCATACATACATACATTGCGAAATGCATTGTGGTAGCATTTTTTGTTTTGCTTTTGCCGAAGAAAATTCTACTATAGTTATAAATTAGAAAAAAATACCAAGTACTCAAGTAGATTGTAGAAAAAAAAAGACAGTTAAATGAAAGTAGTCATTTGTATTCAAGACAAAGTAGCTGCAGCAATCGAAAACGATCCAATAGCATAGATATTTCTTACCATGAAAGGTCAATAATTTTAATTTGTTTATTCTCAAGGATGTTCATGCATCTAATTAAAAACAAAAGAAAATCTGTAGTCTTAAATTTAAAATTTAAACCTATTAAAAATAATGCAACCAAAATTCCATTGCTGAAACCCAATTTTGATACTTCTATGCATCAACAAATGAGTAAATGAAAAATGTTGACCTATGCGAAACACTCTGTATGTATATGTATAACTACAATTTTTACTATCTGCCCTTCTAGTATTTTAATTTTATTAGAAAGTTAAAGTGTAAATACTTATGTTTGTAACTCTTGGTACATACATTTAGTACTTTTGTATGTAAATAGTTTTTATTTATTTATTCCGTTGCTGACAACATATCATATACACTTACCGTATCGGAAAACACCTCTTTCAACATGGTCATGTGCATACTGGTAGGCACAAAAGAGTGGTGCATTTCTCATATGCAGTTATTTGGTTAATAATAATTTACAACAAATTTGAACTTTTTTTAATATGACAGTATATTAATAGACCATGTAACTGCCAACTGGAAAATCAATAAAAATTTCGACATCCAATGTGTAATCATGCTGGGCGCTCAGGGGACCGTTTACCGCAGTTACGCTACACATTTTGCAAAATGAAAGGGAATCTGGAACAACAAAAAAAACTGTTGTGCAAGATTTTTTCTGAATTTTACAAAGTAATATGGTGATTACCAACCTTGATGTGCTTCAGCATTTATTTTTACGTAGCATAACGTAACAGTATATTTTAATATGCGTTTAAATATTTTTATTGAATTTTAAATTTCTCAAGGCTTAATTTTTACCAGTAGAACATGATCATGTTTTATTCTGTTGTTGAAATAATACCTCTATATTGTAAAAGACTTACAACATCGACAGAAAGTGGTAGTTTTCTTATTTATTCATCTACATCATTACACCAACTTACACATGCTATACCACTAGTAGTTGTGCATAATAATTTAGAATAGAGCATTGGGTAGTTGGTAACTTTGTTTTGTTGGTTGTGGCGGACTTGTTCGCGTCACCCTACCTCACTTCACTTCACCTTGATGCAACTAGAATGTGGTAAGAACACTGCAACCTGCATCAACCTACCACATCATCATTTCGCTGTTATTACTAACTGTTGAACATAACTTTATTTGGTTGCGAATGTCCATCCCATTTTTGTCTATTTTTATTGATGTTTACTTAATTACCAGTAAAGTTATGTCGGAATGTTTGGTTTGAATGCTTCATGCATGCCGTTTCTGGTTTATTCAGACATATCCGTCGTTACAAATTATTTCCGATATGTTTCTTCACAACTCATAACTCACTTCGTGCACAAACAACATGAAGCTTATTTGTTTCATCCCCTAAACAAAGTAATATCAATATACTTACCCAAACTTAAAACTGTTAAAACTAATTAAATTAAATTAAAAATAAATTAAAATTTCGCCTCCGTATCTTGATATTACATTTAAAAGCACAGGTTTTAATAATGAAATGAGAATTATGTTAAAGTTTAGAGTCCACAAAAGTTTAATTGGCAAACTTTTGGGTTTTTCAGTATTTAATTCATTTTTGAATTGGCTTTTTAAAATTTCGTTTGGATTAATGTCCACAAGAGAAAAGATACATGTGTTTATTACTGTACTGTATTTTAGGTAGGAGTATAATCGTAAAAAAAGGAGATGGATCGCAAGTCAAAGAATCCACCGATAGTTCAACAACATTAGAAGATGATGACATAAAAGGTAGGTACAGCACACAGTTTTCTATACTTCCCACACACCCTTTTTGTTGAAATGTGCACTGCAATATCATATTTGTTGCAGAAACTAAATGAAGTACGTTCCTGCAGAAAATATGTCAATTCCCATGTAAATATAGATGATCATTCATCCCACATACCACTGGTTTATTTAATTAACAATATCTGTTAAATCACAATCATATCAATTTTATTACATACATACACTTGTGGTGCCTTTCATTAAACACAGTAAGGTGCTCCAGAAAATCCATTCTCAAGTTTATTGTTAAAGTGGGACAACATTTACTTTTTTCTTTTTGTAAACATTATTTCCAAATTTTGTCATTTAAATAAACTAATACAATATTAAAACTGTGTTTAACAACTTTCGGACTCCCTTGTCTAAAATACCCACTTTAACTAGAATCAGTTCTTGTTCATGTACATAACTCGTTGTTTAATGTTATATAGTAGCAATGTGTGCTTCCAAAATTATGTGACTAGATGTTTCTGTAATTAACAGCTTCGTCATTGTTCAATGTACCTATTTATTAAAAATAATCAAATCTAACACACCATCAATAACAAAAAACATCAAACAGTTTACATACTTGCCGTAGGTTCGGTTGGACAAAAGCTGTATTATATATGTATATATTATTAATACATAGATATGCCATATATTTAGATAGTGTAGACACCTTTCGAGTGAATTTTTAAAACACATGCAATTTGAAAACATGAACTTGAGTGCAATAGTAGCACAAATCTTGCGTATAGCATTGTAATGTACAGAGTGATGTTGAAATAACACACCAAAGAAGTAAAGTTTTACAAAAATAGTAACAATATTACAGTTTTGTCGCAGAAAAGTTAATTAAACGCTACATAAAATATTGACGATTAGTCAGACTAATTAAGGGTTATAACTACAAAATCGACCAGTAAGTAGATGTCTAACTTATTTAAACCACGTATGGAAGAATGAGTAAGTATGATATCCTGCTATTGAAAGGATCTTTGATGACATGAGATGGTTAATAGAACATGATGAAAAATGAAACAGTACCTAACATAAATATTATTACAATATAGTAATATAGCCAAAGTCAGATTAATTTATCTTTAAGTAATCTAACAATAGCGTACCACACTACCCAATTTACATTTAATTTCGTGCAGATCATTATCACGACAATAAATTAGATCAGCCCACTCCGATAATAGATTCAATTACAAACCTGTAATATACCAAATGCAACAGAACAGTAAAAGAGTTCTGTGGCCACAGAAGGTCACATTACTCGAAAAAGTTTGGAATCTCTAATTAACACAATTTCAATATTTTAAATTTATAATAGTCGTTAACGCATTCTTTTTTCAAAGAGATAATTTTGAAATTAAAAGTGTTTCAATATTTATTTGTTCTAAAGAGCCCCAGATGCGGTTCATGTGATTATCTAATTGCAATTTATTTTTATATCTCGTTTTGAATACAGAATATATGTGTAAATAATAAGCCATAAAGTATATTGCCTATTTAAAAGTCTAAACAAATGTTAGCATTTACATAGAATCTTCAACTAATAATATAAAATATCTTTTTAGTACTATAGTATTTTTTCACATATTAACAACAAATACACAACACGTCAAGCAAAACAAAAGTAAGATTTTATAAGCTAAAAAAAAATAAAAAAAATCGGTTAAGTATATTTTTCACTCTTTACAAAATATTTAGTTATTTTATTCATCTTGCGAATGAACTGAACCAACCTAAACAATCTAGTGTTTCATATACATAGGACTTTCAACTTTGTATTCCCTTCCTGGTTTCGCAAACTGTTTTACTTTAACCTATTACTTCCTAAGCGTAAATTATTGTAAGAAAATTAGTATCTTTATATTTTTCGATGTTTTACAGTTCGTAGAACACAAAAATATCAGTTTCCCCTTTCGAATTTGTAAAACAGAAACTAGTCAACTGCTTACGAAATTTTTGATATATTTTAAGACTCTCGTGTAAAATCGCAGAAAAAACTTAGTGACAACGTAGATTTGCTAATCGTGGGCAAAGCTTCAACATTTTCAGAAATTAAATGTAGACACAATATATAAATCTCCAGAAAATTTTGACGCAATTAACGGTTCTTTATCACAAAGTTGTGTTAATAAAACACTAATCAGAACCTATCTGTTACTTTCCACCAAAAATTTGATCATATCTGTTAATTTTGCTAAGTAAAACTCGCTTCAAATTTATATTGCTGTGTTTCTTTTTCCGTGGTTTCTTTCCTCTAGTCATAACTGATGATACATTTGTAATAATTTTCACTTCTAATGTTAAATTTTCATTTGGTAGATCAATGTTTTCTTCAAATTCTTCTCTGAGACACTGTACTTTACACTTAACACTTGTATAAAGGGTTAAATACTATACATTCTAAAAACTGCAACATAACAAGGATCCATATACCACTTCTTGAGATACTAGTTAAATTTTCTTACTCTTTATGCTTCCCGCATAAAACAAGCTAGTAAAATTACGTTAATGTATAATTTTGTGTGTCTTCTTCAGTAATACTGTTAAATGCTGAGTACTGTTAATTCCTAAGCATAATAACATGTGATGTTTCAGATTTTAGGACAATGTGTGCACACATATACAATGTTATAGTATCCCGGCGCATCCACCAATTTTTTTTTTATATATGAAAGTACTTTGCTGTTTAGATTAAGACACACAAAGCCAGATAGTTATATTAAATAAACTTTTCGAAAATTATAACAATGCAACTGTATATTTGAGCTTTTGATGTGCATATTTAAGATAATAAAACTTTTGGGTATATAAAGGTTCTTTGGTTCTTAAACTAACAGACCACTGAAACAAACCCTTCAAAAGTATGTGCATATAGGTGTTTCAGAATTTATTCAGGCTTACAAAAAGTCATAGTGAAAGTTGATAAAAACTCGTCTAATAACAAATTCGCCGAATTCACAAGATAATACTTTTTTAAATATTTTTTATTCGTGTAGTTTAATTCTTAATTTATTTTACATACAGTAACTGTAAATTATTTATTATATCACTTTTAATTAAACCCATATTACAATGGACAGAATATAATGTTATTAAATTAAATTTGATTTTGTTTATGTGCCAGCATCAGCTAATAATGTATAGCATAGTCTAAATCAAAAACTTACTTTTATGCATAGCTGGCACATTTTTTGCCCAGAACGTTACAGTAAATATGTATTTATATATGTATTTCTATATTCACGTTAATATGATATATTTTATTACTGACAGGAACTGACACCTAGGCCCGATTTCACCATATATCGTTAACTATATAATACCACCACAAATGTAACTGCTGAAACAATAAGTTTTTTTGTGGTAAAATTATCAAAATATTGGTGAAACCGAACTGTTTACCGAATTGAAATCTTTTTTACAAATCTTGGGTGTAGCTTCTGTGTAATTCTCAAACGTTTTGTAGTACCCACTTTCTTTACTCTTTGTACTAGAATTTCTCTTTTTATATCTTAGTTAGAAACTTTCTTGTGAATATGTGTATATTTTAATAAAAAGTTCATGTACTATTTAAGGGCAACGTAACACAAACATAACCCAAAACGATTGCATATTCCTTCTAGAAAATGCTAAAACGTTGAAATATGTTTATTGTCATAATTCACCTTAACGTTAAAAACACATAAGTAGTTTTTTTTTAAATATATTTTCTTAAAATTGATTACAACATCAAAGAATATTAGTAATAGTATCCCATAATATCAGAATTATAACTAGATCAAAAAATTCTTATAACGCTGTGAGCTATATTAAATATTAAAAATAAAAAAACATTCTTACCACATTCTGCAATTGATTCCTTTGCAAAAAAAAGTCGAAAGTTGCAGTAATGTTATTTTAAGTTTTATTCCTTCACGAATAATGAAAAAAATTCAAACTTAATGTAAAATCAAAAGATTGTTTGGTATGTTCTACCGATACTGTAATTGTCAAAACCATCATCTTTACAGTACATATTAATCGACTCACTTAACAAATGTGTCTAATGTTGGACTTGGCTACAAAAAAAATCAAATAACTAGTTCAGTGGTCATAATGATGTTAGATAATAGCTTTGGTGACAGTTAAAAAGTGCGTACTAGCTCCTAACAAGAGATTAAAAAGAATGAAGAAAAAATGCACAGTTTGATAGAATCGCATCAAATTTAATGAGCAATATGTAAAATATAGTACATTCTAATTAAATATTGGCAAAATAACAATAAATACGAAGGAGCGTTGCCAAAAAAAAAATTAAAATTGATAACTACCTCAACACAACTTAATTTCAATGTTAATTCCTTTAAAGTTTAAATATCTTTTTTAACTTACCATTTTTCAAGTCGTTGTTTATTAAATATATTTAATGAGAACGATTTGTTTTGCACATCGTTTGATTGCAAGGACTGAATTTTTATTTTTGCAATGTGATTCGACCCCGATACCCAATTCGATGTTATTGGGCATGTTTGTGACGAAATGCATGATGAGATATGTTTTATATGGTTTCACTGTCTTAGTTAATATACCATTTTTGACTGTTACAGTGTATGTAAAAATGGATGTGGATTTTGCAGGGTGGGGTGTCACAAAATCAGTTGAAAATGCGTTGTTTACTAATGGTTTTAAAAAATAGTGGATTTTAAACGCCCAAAGAATAATTTAAAGGGGGCATACTTGTTACGCGGGGAAACTGGTTTTTTATCGTATTAGTGAAAACATGTTACCTTAATAGATATTTATTTTATTAGGAGTTTAAGTGATACTTTATGTGACGGAGTATGGACGATTAAACGCCGAGCGATAGCGAGGCGAATTAAGTCCATACGAGTCACATAAAGTCACTTAAACTCCGAATGAAATACAATATTTTATTTTCAAACGATTAACCTTTTTTTGAAATGATTATTTCCTATCTTCTTGCTTCATTAAGGAATTGCCTTGATTTCACTTACCATGGTTACTATGGTTGACAACCACTATGATTTTCACATATTTATACTCCGGCGGAGTATAAGGGCCGGTTGCATAAACGCAAATCAAATTGAATCTCTGATTAACTCCATAGTAACGATTGTTATTATCATAGTTACAATTGTTCTTAATCAGAGATTAAATTTGATTTGCGTTTATGCAACCGGCCCTTAATGTTTTATTTATACGCCGGCGAAGTATAAGTAGTACTTATGCGCCGCTCAAACACGGTGTCATAGAAATGACACTTAAACCCCGGTAAGAACGTCATATAACGGACACTTATAGGAAGTTGTTACCGGAATTTAAGTTTCATTTGTAACTCAATGCAAGGCAAAATTTTAATAAAACGAAGAGACAGAGTAATCGTTTCAAATATTAAACGTTTGAAAATAAAATGTGGTATTTCGTTCGGAGTTTAAGTGACTTTATGTGACTCGTATGAATTTAATCGTCCATACTCCGATACATAAATTATCATTTAAACTTCTAATAAAATAAATGGGTATTTAATATGATTCGATATTTGATATATAGTTTCACTTTTCATTTCAAATACACATATTACTAAATGGGTGACACACATTTTACATAAAAAAATTAACGTGTGAAACAGTTAACAAGTGATTTATATTTTAAGATTAAGTTTAAGGCGGTGTAACGTTACATTATTCCATTGTAATGACATTTCTACTTTAATGTACAGTTGACGAGAACAAAAAAAAAACTTTGCGTTGACATGTTTTATAATATGCATAAATATACTATTGTCAGTGAAAATAAATTTCTGTGATATAACTTAAATAGCTTTATAACTAAGTGCTCATTCGCAATGGGCATAAAGCATAAGGATGTCCTAAGCATTATGCTCATTGTGACCGAATAGAAGCATAGAGCACTAAACATAAATTCTTATGCTCATTCACAATGGGCATAAAGCATAAGGATGTCATAAGCATTACTGCATAAGAATTTATGTTTAGCGCACTATGCTGCTATTCGTTCACAATGAGCATAATGCTTATTGTGAACATTCTTATGCTTTATGCCCATTGTGAATAAGCACTTATGTTCATTGTGAAGGAATACAACCATAGAGCACTAAACATAAATTCTTATGCATTAATGCTTATGACATCCTCATGATTTATGCCCATTGTAAATGAGCACCAATGTGCTTATCAAGTTCGTAAAACTTTTCGTAAAAGATGTCTTTGTTTTGTAATTTTAAAGCATTATACATAATTACTTTTATTAAGTGTATTTGAAGAAAACAGGATAGTTATTTATCCATGTGAAATGTTGACATCGTCAGCCAAATTTTTACCTAAAATTATTTGCAAAAGAGTCGACTTTTGAAGGATATTAATCTTAACAAAATAAAACGCTAACCATTTTTTAATTTTCTTTAATTTGGCTGTAGTACATAAGGTGAAACATTCGTATTACAAGTAATTGTATAATTACTTCAACTAATAATTAAATTAATTACTTCAAAACTGTATCAAATGAAAAATGAAACACAACAAAACCATCTGCTTAAGGTTATTACAAAATTCATTCAAATTCACACAATGTAAAGACGATTTTGGTTTTGTAAATCAGATAACCAGTTTTCTGATTTTTTTTTATATTTTATTTAGAAACTAGGAAGTAGTGAAAAAAACAGGAACGTTCTCATTATTTTTGGTGTACAAAAAATATGTCGCTTGAAGTAATAAAATTTATTGTGGTCTGTTTGAAGTGTTGAATACAATCCAAAGTGAGTTATTATTTAACAATGTTAATTTAATTGATATTTAAATGTAGCATTATTACTAAATATAACCTATTTTCTGGTATCTATAAAGGAGGAATAACCATACAATTAATACAAATTTTAAAAATACCTATATTGTAGCACAAAAACTCTACAAAAACGTCACTTTACGCCAATTAAATGGGTCACATGTATTCTTGGTAAAAAGATTACACGAGTAAAAACCACAATATTTCAATAAATTTAATAATCTGAAAATAATAATTAACTACATTGAACAAAGAGGTAGAATAGTTTTCTTAAATGATTTTTTCCGGTGGTGTTCATTTGTTTCTAAATTCTTTTGAGCCGTGAGACGGGGACCGTGGGGACCAGGAGAGCAACGTGACAAGATCTTGTGTATCAAAATGTCCTCCTCAAAATAAAAAATTGCCTATTTTTGGATTTTTCTCAAATTAGAAGAACAGATGAGTTATTTAGGTTGGCTCTTTTAATTGAAAAGCCCATTATATAATATACAGGTATCTCAGATGTAACTCCGCGTCCTTAACGATTAGAAATATTAAAAATCTGTACATACCAGTGTTTTTAACTTGAAGGGAAAGCGTGATTTAATACATTGCATGTACTTTTTTAACGAATTTTGATAGACTATTAAATTAAGATTACAACGACATAATTATCTAAATAGACAGATCCATCTAGTTGCTGTTTAACGTTAGAAATATTAGACCACAACAATTGTGTCTTTGCTACTTATGAAAAGTCATTAAATTTTTAATTCCGAAAAAATTATTGTAAAAATTGTATCGGCAATAGAGGCCCTACACAGTCCAGATTTAACATCTTTAGATTTCTTTTTATGGTGCTAAATAAACGATTGTAATAATACTTAAATGACTGTTTTTGAAACAGATCATGTATTATATCATTGTAAATCGTAATTTAATGATCTATCAAAATCCACTGAAACAAATAGGTATACGTTGCAATTTAATAAAATATAAGCTTGTGTAATGACGCCGATACCATATTTACATCAAATTTGCAATGTACTATACAAAGTTTTCCCCTTCAATCTAAAATCAATGGCTTTTACAGAATTTTAGTACTTACTTCTCAAGATAACGAATGTGCAACATAATTCGTGATCGTAGTTGGCTGAGTATGTCATACTTTTTAAACTTTTAGGGCCGGTTGCATAAACGCAAATCAAATTTAATCTCTGATTAACTCCATAGTAACGATTGTTATTATCATAGTTACCATTGTTCTTAATCAGAGATTAAATTTGATTTGCGTTTATGCAACCGGCCCTTAAACTATTTCTCTCTGGTTGTCAAAACTTTGATAACACAATGACTTTTTACACAATCGTATCGATTAAGTATGTTCCCAAAATTTTGTTTCCAGAAGTTTTTGCGATCACGATTTATGTTGTTCACCCGTTACAAGACCGTGGAGTTTTATCTGTGTATTTGACAGTTTTAAGAAGTTTATCAATTCAAATAGTATGATTACTGTTGTGTTCAGCATCATAATTTCTTAAATCTCTTACATTATGTCATTTGAACACCTTACATTATTTAGTACCTAGTTTTTTCATAAATCCTGTTATCTGTAAGAACAGAAATTAGAGGAACGGCGTATTTTGATAATAGCAAAATAGTACCACAAAGAGAATAATCATTAAAACAATTTGTATAATGGGTGTGTAGTGTAACATTATTGTGATACTTGTACACATATTTACCAGGTCAGTCCAGAAAAACTATTTCTCATAAAATCAGTCATCTTTAGTGAAACCAAATTAACTTATCATTAAAGTCACAGACAAAACTTAAGGACAAAAAACGTCAGTTGCGTAAAAATTTTCAGTGTTATTATAAACTGTACTAAGAGACTTAGCCACAATTCAATGTGGTAACAATTTCGGTTAGCACTAGTGTCATTCCATTTTGACACTTAAATGTAACACCTGAAACTTCAAAATTTTTATTAATTAAATATGGGATATTGTTGCGAATCTATTTTTTCGCTTTGTTTTCAACTGTAGTATTTTAATTATTTTGGAATCCGACAGGTAAAGTACAGAAACATTGATAACGTCACAATATGGCAACGGTTGCATATATGGATATATAAATGAAAAAAATCAGAGCAAAACAAGATTTATCAGTATCCAAGTACTTCAATGTGTTTTTTAAGCAGTATCTGGCTTATTATATATTTTTCTATTTAGTTTTTACTTCGAAACACGAAACGAAATTGAAGGAATAATAAAAAATAAAATATCTTCTTATTTACAGAACAAGAGCTGATTCGTAAATACATATAAATATGTATTATGTTTCAAGACACCTTAATAAAACTGGTGTGAATTTTTGTTAAAAATATAAATATTTTTCCAAAATTAAAATTGTTTGAGTTCCAGCAGTTGTTGTTACGTAGTCAAAGGATTAAAAGGATAAAGAAAAGAGGATAATAATGAATAATATAAATAATTCTGAGAAAAATTCCATCTATGTATGCACTAATTGGTTTCCTAGCACATACATTTCAAGTAATTCACAAATAGCTTATGAGCATGGATGATCACCAAAAAAATACTCAAAAGTAGATTAAGAATTAAAAACTTATTATGAATAAACAGCAGATATTTTGTACACTTGTTTAAATAATTTCAGAATAATTATTCAGGTTAAATCTGAGAAGTTGCATTGCAGTTGCAGCATAAAAATTGAATAGATGAAGATGAAATGAAAAAAGGGTAATACAATCATCTCATGATAAATCCTCTAGAAATATTATTTAACATTGTATTATATTTTATCAAAACTATGATTGTTCTTCAGTTTGACATGGATCGCTGAAATAATTATCAGGAACATTTTCTGAAGCATCTTAAAAACATTTTCATTAAATCTTCATCGCACAATATTTCATTTTATTTTTGTTATGGGCACATAAATAATTATATTTAGAACCTAAGTGTACCTACATAAATTAATGTAATTTAAGGGAATATTAGATAATCTGTTTATGTTCTGGGCTTCGCTCAGAGGATAAGAAGGGCGGAGTCGACCGCAGTTCTACCGTTATAGCCAAAGATCCGGAAGGTAATCTATTTAATAATATAATATTTAACGCTGCATCATTCGTAACAATTATTTATAATCTCCTTCTAGTGCATCACTAACTACTTACTAAAAACGATAGTTTCAAGGCTCCGATAAACTAATTTTTAATATGCTTTAATCTGTATTTTTAACAAATTATTTTCTTCAACAAGGCATGTGTTCCTATAATATTTCGTGACAATGACTTGATTAAACCTAATTAAATTAATATTAACAAAACTCACGCAAACTCGTGAATATCTACATCTCATTCATTTTGATAAGGTCACATTTCATTAATTCGTAGTGCCGTAGTTCATTTACTTCAACTTAGAGGATTATAATGAATTAGAATGGTACAAACTTTTACATGCATAATATTATATGTATTATATTGCTTCACACAAAATTTCAAAAACATTATGCATTAAGATTTAAAATTTTATACTCTGGCCTTATCAAAATATCTTGGATGACGATAAGAATATGTTAAAACGGCAGTTGAGCGTGTAATGCTTTTTAAAAAAGTCATATAAAAAATTCTAGAATAAAGACATTTCCATTTGATCGCCATTATTAACTACCCAAGGTTTGACATTAACTATTCATAAATTAAAAATAATTACAAATACGTATAACAACTTAAAAATTGTCAATAAAATGAAATAATTTTTGTTACGATATGATGCAGTATGCAATTAATGAGAATTTTTCATGTTAAATATAGTTTAACGATGTGGTTTATTACATGATAAATACTTTAGCTTATACTAATTGCTCGACTTTTACAAAACATTCTTTGGAGTTTTGCGGCACTATAATGATACTATTTTTTTTTTTCTATTATGTAATATGCACTAGCACCAATTCCGAATTGTTTGAATGCCTGTTACATGCTTGAAGTGTATTAAATATTTGTTTTCAAAAAAAAAACAACGCTAAGTAGATAGAAGTATGAACATACATAACATCAGCGAACGAGAATTCAGGAATTGTAACCTATACTTCCCAAAAGATGCACATGTCTGACGTAACAGTTAATCGCCGTTGCATGATTGTATTTTTAGAGGGTAGGATTCGTAGCAGATGTCTTTGGTGTAGTTTAATGAATGCATGTGTAGACACCGCTCGAGTTATTTTAAAAAGGACAAGTTATGTTTTAGTTTCTTAATTAAAATACGACCACCTATAAATAGTCTACTTAAACTTTATTTGTTTAAAATCAGCATCGATTCGACTCATCAGTTAAATTTGGCATAGTGACAACATCGAATCTCAACATCGGAAGTGTTGCCAACAGTTTGAATAGTGACGAGAATATTTTTATATCGTACGCCGGGCTTCTTTATTGTCGCGTCATATTTCCCGACAATAAATTTCGTCGAAAGCCGAAAATATTTATTTGGTGCCAAGTGGGACATTTATTTGGCAAAATTGGTTGTTTTGGTGATATTATGTCGGCCCTCGCGGCGGTTTTAGGGGCCACCAAACGGAGGGAGAGTATGTACACTTTCTCATCTGCATTTTCTTTTACTATTCTGCCGTAGTTTTTCCACGAATGCATTAATATCTTCCAAATTAAACCGCCATCTCGCGACTTAACATTCTATTAAAACCGAAAGGTTAAACGAGAATTAACATAGTATATTCTCTATTGGTTAAATTAATGAAAATGATGTATCTACTCTTTCTATAAGTGTGTAATTGCGATATATTAAATAAAAATGTAAATTTTTTATGCTTTCAACTTTATTTAACTCTAAAACCTATTAGGCTCTGGAACTCCTCCGCAATCGCCAAGAATAGCACCTTCTTCGAGTTCGCCTTCTAGTTCTGTCGCTGCTGCAAATCCACGACCCAATACTCTTAATTTAGGCCAAGCTTTATTGCAAGGGGTACAAGGTTAGGGTACTGTGTGCTTTCGCGTGTCAATAATACGTACTACCATGTTTTATGCTCTTGATAACTCCGACTAACGCTAATTACATATACCTCGCTGATAAAATTTGTTCTTTATAATACTCGAAACAAGAAGATAACAAATTGCTCATTAAATTTGCAATTTTTTTGTATTTATTCAAAACAAGATCTCTCAAATTAAAAAAAGTTCCATTGAAGTCTGCATTTTGTGTTAATGCTTGCATGCATGTTTCTGCACACTTTAGATTTGGATGCTGTACACGACAGTATTGACACTGAACAGTGGGTAGAAACAACTGTACAGTACGACAGATGTCTAACAGCGGAATCAGGTTTGTATTTTTATTATTTTTATGTTTTATATTAATCTAATCCGCTTTTAAAGCTATTTGCTCAGTTTTGTGATGGTGACGGTGAAAATCTAAACCATTCTTCAATAAGAACTTTAGTCTTAAGACGAATCATGAAACTTTTCATGTTCTAACATCTAGTTCACTTGTAATCGTTATTTCTTTAGTAACACCATTTTTTCATCATTTATTTAATCGCATGCATAATCATTTTTGATTAGAAGATTCGATTTTGGCATACCAGCGACTTGAATCCTGTGAGGTTGATCTAGACGGTAAGCCACAAAATAATACAACACAGTAGAGTTTTTGATGGCAGCATTTTGAATTTTAAAGTAGGTAGATTTTTGTTGTGCAGTTGTTGTAAATACAGCGATATCAAAGAATTTAAAATAAAGTTTGTAAGGAAATAAAACGCACATACCTACTGTCTATTAATCTAACGTGATAGCCCAGCAATTAGTACAAGAAGGTAAACTTATATTTCGTAGGCACTAATTTTATGATAACTCTTATACCCACAGTTTAATCTTCTTAACTTTCTTAAAAGCTTTTGCTGCTAAAACCAACTGAAAATGTAAATGTTGACAGGTTAAACTACAAGCAAGTTTTTTGAGTTACGATTAAAAATATGATAATCTGTCTCATTTAATTTTCGTGCATGCAAGCTGCAAAAGCAGTACTAACAGTGCTTATTTGCGATTGTAGAAATACGGATTGTGTGCCCCGAAAAGCCGTATTCTCAACTATCCACAAATTCACAAGGTTCAGGTATGCTTTTTCACAATTATTCTATTACTAACTACCGCTATCTATACTAACCTCATTTTACTTTCCCTGTCAGTTGTATGTGACGCAGACCTTAAGTTCTTGTCGAAAATTTTTCATGGTGGTTTCAGAAAACCAAGGAATTTTCGACGGCAAAGGTTGCATTGATTGGCCTCTATTTTCGAATAATATCTCACTTTTAAAGCTGTGCATGTCTTAAAATTACTGTAAACTATACTTTCCACGTATAAACCAGTGGTACTTGGTGCTCCTTGTAGTTCGTCTTCTAGTTTGATGGTCACTGGTGTCTCATGATGTCTCAGTTCAGCTTTTAAACTTACATTTACTTTCGCAGCTCGAAGACAAGAAATCATCAAAATGACTGAACAGCTGATAGAGGCAATTAATACGGGAGATTTCGAGGCATACACGTAAGTCGAAATCCTTTTGAGGATCTGCGACAATTAGGTTTTTTTTTCCTTACAGAAAGATATGCGATCCCCACTTGACAGCTTTTGAACCAGAAGCTATGGGCAACTTGGTTGAAGGAATGGATTTCCACAAATTCTATTTCGATAATGGTTAGTAAAATTTAAGATTCGAATTTCTTGCCAATTACTGGATTAAGTTTATACAGATGGGAAATGTTTATAATTTGCACTTTATAGTGACACAACACATGTGTTACATAGTTTAATTTTGTAAATCCTGTTACAAAAATAGTAACAGCTTAAAAAATATGTCACAACTGAGTGGGTGGTCGTTATCTATTTAACAATTTCAGGTTTTCGATCTTATTGTGTTATTAAAATACTGTATATTTAGGGGAGGAAAACATCAAGGTAATAATTAATTATACATCGTATCGATTATGCCTGGTCAAGAAACTGGACAATCCGACTAAATTACATTTAACAAAACGGTTTAATATATAATTCAACATACGAATACGAAATTGTCTAGAAAAAGCTATTGACTATGAAAAGGGTGTAATTTTCATATATTAGACAAATTTGGAATGTCCTTTATTGCTTGCTTATAAACTTGTAACAATAGTTAAAATAATGTACATAAAATGACCCTGCAGAATAACTAATGGAGGCAACACTGAACCGACCTAAATCAGTTGACAATTTATTTTAGCAACATGCATAATTTTGATAGTATTTCATAGCTCTAATGCTAATTAGAGATTACCTTATGAACGAAATAAATCTTCTACATTTACCACTGAATTTATTAATTAGCTGTATTGATTGAATTTCCATGAAATTTTTTTGGAATCCTTATAAATATTGTGTTCTTTATAAAAAAAATGCCTATTTTTAGATGAAAAACAACTATTCAAACCGCCTTGGCATAGTTACAATTGCTTCCATGTTTATAGAAAAGAATTAATTGGATCAAACATGTTGTCATGCAACCCCGCCTAAATTTCATGTCGTGGTGGTTATAATTCTTATACAAAAAATACCAACATGACTGAAATAAAGTAATAAAATAATATTAAAATTTTATTTCTAAACTTATAAATATTGTATTGAATTTCTATAACAATAATAATTAGTTTAGCATCACTAAAGACTTAAATTAGCTCAAAAAAAAATTATTACTAGTGATAAATACCTTAGTCTATGTAAGAAATTTTGCACTGAGAATGGTTTAGTGTTCTGTGATGGCGCAATAAAAAAATACTGACATATTTTCTATACACACACCTATCTGTATATAAATTGCTTCATTAAAAATCGCACTATTGCTAATACAGTGTAGCATATATCGGTAAATGATTTAGCTACATGTTGTCGAAATATACATCGTATTTTATTTCGTCATGTCGAATGTTAGTTCTAGGTAAGAACTGCAAAGCAGTGAATACGACCATTTTAAATCCCCATGTACACTTACTGGGAGAAGATGCGGCATGTATCGCCTACGTGCGACTAACGCAGTATATGGACAAGTAAGGAATAGATTAGTAATAAAACGCTCAAATAATGAAAATAATATGTTCATATGCAGACATGGTCAAGCGCACACTCATCAATCTGAAGAAAGTCGAGTGTGGCATAAAAGGGACAACAAATGGCAAAATGTTCATTTTCACCGCAGTGGTGGTACAGGGGGTGCTGCTTTCGGCTTCAGTTCGCATAAATAGAACAGTACTCCATAATTTTCATCGAGCATTCATAATATATAAACTATGTTTACTGTGAATTCTATTTGTGGTGATGTGTGATTCTGATATTTTTGAATTTTATATTGATTCTTATTGTTTTACATTAGATAGAATAGTTTTCTCTATCACAATTATATATATATTATATGTTACCAACCTATTATTCCATATAATGTCCACACTAGAAGACCTCGTGTGCAATGTAAGATGTTGTTGTCACTTATTGTTTACAAGAATTTTGTGCAATTTATGGTAATCGTACACAGAAGTTGTCCTTAATACGATGTTTTCATCCGAGTGCAATAGATGTTAGAGGTTAATTAATATAAGTCACAATCGTGTGTAGTGAGTTACATTGTATGGAATAAATTATAGATTGCCTTCTATGATATATTTCTTAGGCTTGCCATTTGAAAGGTTGGTATAAGAAATAGCAACCATAAAAAGAAAGCGGCAGCTTTTGCAGCACACCAAACCTAATATAATTGATAAGATGTAAGAAGTAAATACTTAGCCAAACGATTATAGTGAAACTAAAAGTATTTATTGGGATTTTAATTTATTTATTTACACCACAATCAGAACTTAAAAATGAATAATATTTTAGACTAGGAAATTGTATGGTGCGAAGATTATTTTATATTTGTAAATTATTGCTTTGTTTCCTCAATTATTAAAAGAGTCTTGACTTATACTACTGCCTTATAATTACATTAAGGTTTAAGTAGGGGTACAGTACTTATTTACATACGGTTATTAGCGCACTGCTGCATGGCATTTTTTATAGTATTATTCAAATATTGAAGTTATTACCTACTCTTATAGAGTATTGAACGACACTTCCTTAATTGAATATTGCTTACTATAATTTCTGTCATTTCTCTTAGAAAAAGAAAAATCATTTTTATACATAGGATAAACGTAATAGTTTACAAACATTTAATGATAGAGGTCGCACGTTGCTTTATGAAATAACATTTTTACAAAAGTTTAATTTTTGATGGAGAAAATTTCCCTTTTACACTTATCGCATGTTGATGTGTACAAATAAACTTTCGATCCTAACAATTGTGCATTGTGCAAAGTTACCATTTCACGCGAGATTATTTAGAATCAACATGTTACTTGGAAAAGGGGAGATTTGTACATAAAAAATGTAAACGTTTTTGGAAATTTAATATTTACATTTGACTGTTTATGATAAAGTACTATTGACATGTTTTTAGCTCTCTTAATATAAATATATTTAAGAATAATATGTAATCACTATATCTAATTTCCACATTTTCGGTCATTTCGTCTATCTATCGATATTTTTTCCCGAATAGTTTTAAAAAACGAAAATTAAAGATAACCATTACAAAGATCGGCAGTTGGTGCGCTCAAAAATATCGTATTATCAAAACTGCGTTCACTAATTTATTCATCGATTTGAAACGAATAAGTGTAAAAGTAAAAAATTCGCGTAAAAATATCGATAATCCGCTTTTTAATGTATTTGCTGAGACTTATCGAATTTAAAAGAATTATCCACTACATGTTCTAGAATAGTTCTTCTTTTTAGTGAATTTGTAGTTAAATTGTAATAAAGTGGTTACATTAAAAATAAGTCATTCTATGAATTGACTTTACATTTTCAAATACATAATTTAGGCCTAAAATTTTTTTTTGTTGAATTTTATGGACCATCTTAGTATTATTTTTAACTACAAAATCATACTAAAATGTTTCATCACCAAAAATCACGTCGAAACAGTCTGTTATTATCATAACATAACGCTACACACATCCTTAAAATAATTAATTTATGTGTTAACATTTCAGTTTTCCTAGATAACTTTCTTTGCCATTACAGATATAGTTATTTCAGAAAAAAATTCATGAGATTTTTATACTGTTCCTATTTTTAACACATCTTGTGATTTTTTGCAATATTTTCGTGTAATGCTGTTAGAAGATTTAAGTAAGTGTAATTAAATTGTTTCCTTAAGTTGTATAATATACACTGTGGAACAACACATTATTTACCCTAACAAAGTTGAACCTGTTTTAAATAATATCGATGTTTTAGGCTAGTTATCATTGAAATATCAAAATAAAAGTTGTTATGGGTAAACAAAGTGAAAATTCCATCATAATACAACTTGTGAATGTACAATTCTTTGCAAAACAGAAATATTTTAATGTTTTTGTGCAATATAGTTATAAATAGTGTTTAATGTTGTTTTTAAGATGTAAGTTACATATTTGCTCATATACTTAATTTTTATTAAATACTTGTGTTGTACAATATTTATAAATAGCAGATTTTAAACGAGTTTAGATTAATTTCGTGGCACTTTTAATATCATATGTGTACAAGATAAACCACGATTCATTAGTGCGGGTGCCATACTTATTTCTTGTTCTTATTTTTTTTTGTAAGTTTCCTCTTTTATTACAATCAGTGAACAGACATGTTAAATTTTTAAAATTGTATATAAAGATTATCATTAAAACTTTGCTTATATCATATTTAACATGTACCTACATGATGTATGTTTTCCCTTTACAATCAAGTGTTTGAGTAAAGCCACTTTTATGGAAAATTAAACCGAAAAAAGTACATTATGTGTTATTTATCTTTACGCCAGACCCTCATCTAAAGTTTTAGTTATGTTTATTTATATCATTTTCTATGCAAACTATGTATCTTATTTAATTTTGTTAAAAAACAACATCTCAAGAATTTAAACAATAGTTATTTGCCTTCTGAAGCGCAATAAAAATACAAGTACCTATTTATATGTTCAGACCAAATGTTTCCACAGTAACTATCGTTAAGCAGTTATTCACTTCTTGGTTAAACTTAAATTAAATTTCCGTTAATATTCTTTGTAACTGCGTCACATATTTTAATTCCGTAGCTATATAAAAAAAAAACTTCAGTTCGTGTATGTTTAGACAAAATCACATATCTCCATGAGTATCTTTTTAAGTGCACCATATGGGGGATATACCGAGCGAGCAACAAAAAAATACGATCAGAGACAACCATGGATTTTTGGAAGTTTGTCTATGATCGTTACATTTTCAATTCAAACTTTTAAATTGACGGTAATCTTCAGACTGTTTTTAATAGTTCTTCTTATTTTTTTCTTTGAATACACGAATGGTTGGTATTATTAAGTAGGTAAGTATATGGAAGTGAAGAAAAATGTTCCTTAAGTGGGACTCAACTCCACGTCCTTTCGCTTGTCGGGCGGAAATTTTACCATTTAAGTTATCGCGGAGTAATTAGTTATAACTTATACTAGTCTACAACCAAAAGTCATCAAGAAAAAGAATAAGTGGACTGTACTAAATTCGACATGGACAAAATTTTAAAATCCCTAAAAACTTCAAATTTGATCGTGAAATATGATCGTCAGCAAAATGTTGTAAAAGCGCCCTTACACTAAAATGTAAATTGTTATTAAATCGCACCAGAGGCAAATGCCTATTGTGCTCGCCGGTAGGACAACAAAGTAGCAACTAGAATTTGCTGCCGATCCTATTAAGGGTGGTTAACATTTGAAATTACGTCGAATAAGTAGCTGCCTAATCTGTGTTTTAAGGTAAGTAGTCGCGGTTTTTGAATTAACGTTATTGTTCCAAACGGGAAATACTCTTATTTGTTAGAAAATGCTGTCGCCATCTAATTCTGTACTTTTCATGGGAAACTTGTGACCACGCAAACAAGAAGTGTGAAATGAAACAAAGATGTTATACAATATACAGGTCACTGCTGTACTGACGGATGAGTATGTTGTAAACATGTGTCAGATTATGAAAAAACGACGTTTTTCAGTGGCAAGAAGGCGTAATGCAAGAAGTCTTCATAATATTTATTTGTCAAACTTTCTACCTTCTTTGAAAATCAGCGCTGTACTCGATTACCTTTTTGTCCTTTATTATTAGAAGACAAAATGACACTGGCATATTCTACTATTGGGCGGACGTATTAAACAAATAACCATTAAACCAACGATAACGTCCAAATATTAAGACCCTGGAGTAAACAGGCCACCGTGGATCTTTGTTGGTTGTGCAGATAATAGATTGCTCATCTAAAAATCGAATTAAGCGTTTTCCAAATGATTCTCTCCACGACCTTACAACATATAGACGTAAAACTAATGTAGCGGTAATTTTCTGTTTTTGTTTTATATATCGTCTTCTTTACACACTAAAGGGTAACTAGCGCTAAAGCGATATCGGTGGAAGAATTGATGTTGAAAATGAACAGGTCACAATGTAATTTCGGAAAGGTGTTAGGAGCGGGGCATGGAAGTAAACTGCTGCTCAGTCCGACAGAAAATACACTACCAAAAAAATCAGCTAAAAAGTTAGCGGTCTCTTGTTCCTGCGTAGAGTATGCCGTTGATATTGCACACAACTCGATACTTTTGATAACATTTAATTTCTGACATATATGTGGAAACCTTTAGGTCACTTTTTGACATTCGTTGCTCGTACCGGTTTCTTGTCAACCAAAGCTTTTTCGAGGGTCAACCTGTATTTAAGGCAAGAATGATCTCGCACCGCACGGACGATATCTATTTCTTCATTTTGATTTTCGGCAAGAAGAACAGTTAATATATTTTAGTTTTTCAACTTTGCATTCAATAAGTTCGTGTTCACTACTGCATCTTGGATACGACGGTTTTTCTTTGCAGACACAAGAGGAATGAATGGTCGAAACATTTGAAGCAGCGATTAGCCTCCAGTCCGTCAAATGCGATATAATAATCATATCCAGCTAACAGAGCACCAGCTGTCATTAACCTAGTATACGTAATTTTGTCAACCTAAAGAAGAGCTTGACATATACTTGGTTTTTCTTTGTAGGCTAGTATTTTAAAATTTTGCGTTCTCACTTGGTTTTACAAATAGTAGGATTAAGCATTGTTATAAATTCAAAAAAGTTAATTTTCTTCATATGCTTGGGAAAATCAGATAAGTCGATCCTTGGTATATATCTTAAATTCATATCTAACATAGGATTTAACAAATTTTTCTTCAACTAATTATTATCATGTTGTCATTTTTTATACCAGCCACTTTCTCAAATTCATTTTCCGCATTAAAAGGGTTAACGTTGGATGCGATGTCTGCTTTCGTCTTTAGTAAAATAAGTTCATGGGTTTTGGTTCGATAAATACAGCTGCTTTTGTTTTATTCTTTAGTATAGTAGAAAACGAGGGAACAGAAATATTTTTAGCGCATTAACTAGTCCGGAGCAAGTCAATATAGTTAGAAGCGGGCAGTTTCTCATAACCCTAAAGGTAAGTGTCCACTTGCGAGAAAGCGCCTCAAAATCAGCCCTGGAGAGCTCCGAGTCCAGTCGAGTAAAGACGAAACACTGATCGGCTGATCTCGCCGCGAACGATATTCTCTCCAGTGGACAAGCCAAACTGCGTTTACTTGCGAGAGATACTGTCCATGTGAAGAAGCTTCGAATTGGGGAAGTATTCCCCGAGAGTAAGCAGTTCATCATAAATCATTTCTCGAGTAAAGCCGACTTATTTTACACGTTTATGATTCTATGCAAACAGTCGTGAAAAGGACTACGCAATTCGGCCAAATCTGATCGTTTACCTGACTTCAACATTTATACAGCGTTTTGAGATAGGTAACACATTTTTATGAAATTATTAAATACTAAAAAAAATGTAAAACGAAAATAAATGACTAAATTATGTTCATTTGTCGTAAATCTGAAGCAAGTAATGTGAAAAGTAGACTAGATTAACTTTTTTAATTTATAATTAAACATCATAGTTTGTATAAGTGATTCTGATTATACTTCATTATTATTATTATTATTTTGTTGCAGTACGAGATTAAACTATGCACAACGAAGTAAATTCATTTTTTATTATTCAAATAACGTTTTTAAATGAATTTTTAATAATAATTTACATATTAGGTACTACAAATGTATTGTTAAGTAGCATGAGTATTCAAAAATTAATATTTATATTTATTTTCGGTGTTTATCCACAAGTGCTTTTATAAATTGATACCTGCCTCACCTGAAAATATAATTATTAGGGACAATAATTTTATAGATGTTTTTACACACTACAACATTGCATGTAATTGTCCTTTGATAAATCATAACCTGCCGGGATGATAATCTTCAGGTGCCGGTCGTATTAAGCGCTCTTACCAATCTAACCCGGGAGACCTATACCCTTTTTGCTACCTGTTTTCCCAGCATTTACATTTCATTTGAATTTCTTGAAAGAGGATTAACAAAAAGCTCATAAAATCATAAATTATTTGTCGGTCGAGTACAAATCGCTCGTTTCTCTCGCTAGTGTACCCGAGCAGTGGACAGGGTAGCAAATTTGCTAGAACTTGGGCTCTAGTTGGAAACCAAAGCTGTGCCTCTCTGGAGGTACTTTCACAATACGAACACGTTTCGAATTCCTACAGTTCTGTCCGCGAGTGGTGAGCTTTGCCATGGCCAAATTTGGATGGTCAAAAGACCAAACTGCAGAACTAATTGCACGATATGGAAAAAACGGACTATAGAAATCGCGTAGCATACACTAAAATTATTTTCAACTATACAGAGTGTTCTGTTTTTGAGGCGTAATATTCAACGTACTTTTTTAAATAGAATGCCTAATTCTAATTTTCTAAAAAATTTTTGTAATGAAGCGGTTCACAAAAAAATCGCAATCGTATTAATTTTAAGATCTGTGTTATAATATTTTATGGGGAGGTAAACAAAAGTACGTGCTTTGCTATGGTATCAATTAAATTAATTTCTAATATGCTGAGTGTTTATAAAAACAAAACTAAAATATTAACAATTTTCAAACATCGTTATTTCCGTCAGCCCATTCTCTACTTTTACGTTTTCTCGACCTTTCATGGCCCCTAGAGTACGAAAAAATAAGTCTCTAGTTTCCGTCTGTCTGTCTGTCCGTCTGTCTGCCGTCTCGATTTTTATTAGACAGATAATCTCCAAAAGTACTGGGTCGATTCCAGATTTTTGGAAAAGAAAACATAAAACAACATTTTACAATTTAATTTTGATTCTTACAGCTGTTTTAAAGTTATGATAAGCATAATAAACTTTTAATCAAAATATATTTGCTTATCCCCTCCAAAAAATTGATAACGTCAGTTCAAAATTTTGCCGAATAATTTCCACCCGAAATGTGCAAAATATATATGATCAGTATAATACTTGTAATTTATTATTGTGTTCATATTTTTTAGGTTTGCTTATACAGGGCGACTCAAAAAAAAATGAATGCGTGATTTTAGTTTCCTGAATAACACAAGAATTGCAAAACTGAATAGGTACTTTGAAATCTTCCAGACATTTTAAGGTTATTGTAAGCGTGGTAAATTGTTAATCAAAACATATATGTTTATTCCCAACAAAAACTTGATGACGTCATCTCAAAATTTTTCAGAATAAATTCTATCCAAAGTGTGCAAAATATGTTGAGTTTTTAATTGTGATTTATCACTGCATTCATATTCATCTACTGTTATTTTTAGTATTATACTGCACCAATCCAAGTTGATATACGTGACCTTGCAAAAATGTTGATGACGTCA